GTCAAGCTCCTGTTCACCTCTTCCGTTAGCGCCGCGCACGGCTGGGACCCGAACGACGGGCCCGTGCCCGAGGCGCCGCTGACCGACCCCGTGCTCGCAACGACGTCGGGGTACGCGGCATCGAAGTATGTTGTTGAGCAGGTGCGTGCCGTCACGCCACGATTCCCGGTACAGCCGCGCGATGCTGAAGGAACCGCCAGATCCTCGACAGAGCATCGCACGCCGGCTTGGAGACGACTTCGCTGCGCACCGGCCAGCTGTCCGGCCCCCACACCACCGGCGCGTGGAACACGACAGACTGGGTGCCGATGCTCGTCAAGTCCAGCATCGCCCTCGGCGCACTGCCAACCCTCGACCACGTACGTAGCGCCCCCGTCTCCTCGCGAGCTGCGTTCTGACCAACAGCACGCGCAGACCGTAGACTGGATCCCGATCGACACCGTCGCTGCCGCCGTCACCGAGCTCGTTTGCTCGCCCGCACGCTCCAGCGCCCCGGGGCTCCTGAACGTCGTGCACCCGCGCCCGACGGCGTGGGCGCGCGTCTTCGGCGCGGTGAACAGCGCGCTCGCCGCGCCGCTCCCAGTCGTGCCGTACACACAGTGGCTCGCCAAGCTCGAGGCGCTCGCCGCAAGCGCGAGTGGCGCGCAGCTCGAGGCCGTGGTGAGTTCCACACGCTGTCTCCGCGTGCCAAGTGCAAAGCGCGCTGACGCGTCACGCACGCCCGTAGCCTGCGGCCAAGATCCTGCCGTTCTTCCGCGCGCTCGGCGCCGGGCCCCCCGTCGCGTTCGCCACGCACAGGTTCCAGGAGGCGTGCGTCGCGGTGCGTGGGCTCGTCCCCGTCGGTACCGAGCATGCGCAGGCGTGGGTGGCGTACTGGAGAGCGAAGGGCTTGATCGCGTGAGCAGGCCAAGTTGAGCAGGCTATAAATCGGATGTACAGCGATCAACAAAAGTAACGCGTGCAGCTGCAGAGGTGTCGAAATCTGCTCGGCGGCTTGTTAATGACCAGTGCTATCCGTACGACTCGTACATGGATTCTACTAAGGCTGTATCCTTTGACTGGTAGAAAGTCAAAACCATGCGTCGCTTGGTCAACTTGAATCAGCCCCCCACTGGTTTTGCGAGGACGGCCGTGCAGGCCGTGCACTCTTGGCTTCCCGTGCATCATGCTGCTTTAGGCCGTACATAAGTTACGCCGATACACATGCAGATACATACAATGCACACTAAACGAACGTTTGGTTGTGCTGATATATAGCAGTAGAATGGGAGAGACGCGCCTCTGTCACTGAAGCCCAGCACAGACTGGGGACGCCTCAGTCGACCAGCGTGAGACGGCGGGCGCGCAGGGGAAGGTCAGAGTTGTGGGGGCTTGCGATGGGCACGTACGACGTGAGGAAGCTTGAGATCGGGGTGGACGACTCCTCGTTGGTAACGTCCACTGTCGCCGCGCAAGACGGTGTGTACGTTAATATTCGCTGCCGGAGGGACCGGATGGTGAGATGGAAAGTGATGGTGGCCGACGAAGGCGAGTGCAGTGACGGAGTCGAAGTCGCAGCTTCTGTGACCATGGCATTACATTACATCGGGACCCTAACGTTCAACACTTGGCGCTCCGATGTTCATGACCCCAATCGACAGCCGTACAATGTCTCCGGAGTATTGAGAGCAGACACGTCCTCGGTATAACACGCTTCGTCGTTAGAGGTGTGCAGAGCTCATGCGCGTTTCATCCAGCGATACAAACAGTGTTGGATAAATATTGGTCCTTCTGACCACATGCCGAACATACAAGCATACAAGCAATGTTAAATATTAAATAAATATCGGTCCTACATCCTTACATCCTTTGTGCCACATTAGAGGAAGGCGATATCGACGGTCGAGGGCGAAGCCAAGACGGAAGTAAGAACAGTGCCGTTCTGCTCTATGTCGAAGATCAACGCGCCAGAGATGTCGAGAGAACCTGTGGGGGTCTCGGCAGACGCGCCAGTGAAGTTGAGCGCACCAAAGTTGACAAAGGGCAGTGGAATCTCCGGCCCCT